AAATTGGTTGTTTCAGGTAGATGAACAGTATTATAAAGAATAGCTTCAGGTGCTTTAGTAATTCTGGCTGCTCTATCTGCCAATTCAGCATACAAATTACCAGGGATAGGCAATTTACTGATTTAACTAATAGTATCAGCAGGTATACCATGAGTACTCATAGCAAAGATCCAATCATCAATACTTAATTAATTATTCTTTTATTTTAATAACTTTTCTAATTTAACCTTCTTATCATCATCAGTTTTAGCCCATCTTTCATATTCTTATTTAATGATTTGATCAAAACTCTTATATTCTCCAAATGGTCCATAGAGTTTAGCCAAATCATTTTTATGTTCTTAAAATAATTATAATAATCCATCCATTCCTAATTTATCCCACCAATTATTTTTTTTTAAGACAGCAAAGACTCTTCTGATAATATTTCTAATATTAGAACCTCCACCAACATTAGATGGTAATGATCCATCAGTAACAACCATCATAACAGTACGTGTATGATCGAGAATAATATACATATCTTTTAATTATTCAATTTCTCTCTTAATAGTTTAAACATCATATCCAATTTAAGACGAAATGAATTCCCATGTTTTATCAACATTTTCAACTTCATCAACATTCAATAAACAACTATATGGTCCAAATGCTTTCCAAACTTCATTTGAATATTCAACTTATAATTTTTATGCTAAGAATGCAAATGCTCCAGCAAATACATCAAAATAACTAGTAGGTGAACCATTCACTAACCAAGGAATACGTTCTAATCCAATTCCTGTATCTATGATTTTAATAGGTAATTCTTCATATGATCCATCATGAAAATATTTATATTACATAAAAACCATATTTCCAACTTCTAATCCATTAACAAAATATTCAACTGATGGTCCTAAATTACCACCTCCTGCCCAAACATCTTCAATAAATGTAATATCATCTGGATTGATTTCTAATTCTTCAGTTAACCATCTATAATTAAATTCAACACATTCCTCTTTAAAGAATACATATTTATCAGGATAGTTGAATGTCTATATACCAAGCATAATAAATCCTGAATAATGTCTACCTGTTAAACCAATATTATCCAAATCATTAAATCTAACACAAAACTAAGGACATATTAATGGATTAGCTGGTGGATCCATCTCACCTGTAACACAAAATGGTTAAAAACAATATATTCCTGCTGCTACATAATCTACATCATTTCTCCATCTTGCTACAACTGGATATCTGTCTATTGCTGTACATGGTACTCTTGTACTAGTTAAAGATTTCTTGAATCCATTCCATGCATCAGCATATGTTATTTTATTACCTTTTGCACCTTTCCCTGT